TTTAATTTAATTTAATTTAATTTAATTTACAGTTTTCCTGATGCAGCACCACAGGAAAGGTTGTAGAGAAAGAGCGTGAGATGAGTCTGGCAGGGATTCACCTTGCACTCATGACAGCAAACTCCATGTGCGCACTCCGCTCCAATCTTCAGCGTGCAGTTGTTGGCATTACAACAGGGACTTGAGCACTCCTTTGTAGTAAAGGAAACAGAAACGGAAAATGTGAGAGTGAAAAATCAATCGGAATAACAGCGTGGGAGAAAATGAGACAGAGGAAGCAATGAAACTCTCTCCTGACCTCCACTTCCCCACAATCACACTCTTCTCCTTCCTCCAGGTATCCGTTTCCACAGCGCTGGCCCCTGTACATGACCCTGGTGTTGGGAGGGTTGAACAAGCACTTCCCCCCGCCGGAGCTCAGGTAGTGCTTCAGCTCTTTCTGATTGCAAGGGTTGAAGACACGAGGAAACGGATCCCTGAAGAACATTGACTTTTATGCCAAGTTGATTTTAAAGTGACAGCTCACCAAAAATGGAAATTCTGTAATCATTTACTAATGTTATGCAGGCTTGAAATGATATAGCATCTTTGGTACTCACCCTGTGGCAGCAGCCATAATGCAGCCTCCATTCTCAGGCTGAGCGAGACAGCAGCCTGGACTATCGTGGCTCATCCCAAAGTTATGCCCCATCTCATGAGCCATGGTGGCAGCGACCCCCACAGCACTGTCAGAGTGGTCCTATAGAGAGAGAGAGGCAACTGAAACAAAAACTGAGCGCACATGGCTATAAAAACTGGAATAATGCTGTAGGTGAATTTACCGAATTGACTCCACCAGACTGGTATTCAGAACACATGGCTTTAAGGGGAGCCAGACCAATGATGGTGCCTTGAAAAGAAACACCCCTGCAAACACAACAAAAACAACTGACGAAATACCAATAAAGCCATGGAGGAACCAGATCAAACCAATGCACTGACTAGCTGAACATTTAAAGGGATAGTTCACCCTAAAATTTAAATTGTATCATTTACTCTCACATTTCCTTTCAACCCCATGTGGAACACAAAGGGAGAGGAAGCACTATTATGTATTTATTTCTTTTTTTTGGTAATTCAACTTTTTTATTGTTCAACAGTCATAACTTCGTACATCACCGCAATATTCCATATTCACCTTTCCAATCAATTACATATTCAGCCACTTGTCACCATGAATGTAATAAAACAAAAGCACATGTAAATTAAACAGTTGTTAAGAAGTCCTGCTCATCACACCCTTTTTATACGCTGCCAAAAATGATCCCATGTTTTTTTCATTTCTCCCTCACTCT